TTATTATTTTTTTTTTTACAAAGGTATAATTTACTTTTTTCAAACAATGAATAGCAGCACTTATTAAATATTAAAATCTTTTATCTGAGACTACAAAACAAAAGAAAAAAATATATAAAATAAAATACCTGAGGATGACTGCAACTACACCTCGAGTCAGACAAATCTCGCTTTAGCTCTAATCGGTTGATATTTCACATCATACCCTGCTTTTTGAACCCACAGTCAGTCTTATGAGATGTGTTTCTCAAATAACTCAAATAGCATGATGTGGTCATGGGGTGGGGTGGGTATGTTGAGAGTCTTGGTAACTTTAGCATTCAAGGTTTTGATATTCATTCTGATATCTGTACATGATTTGTTTCACATTGGTCAAAATAGTTTTTTTAAGAGTCTGTCTCCTCAAAAACGATGTCAGTTTTCCAAAAGTTACAGAACGGGAGTATTATTCCACTCTGTGCGTCCAACAGACTAGACACTCACCTTGAGCTTGCTGGGACAAAACAAAATTCTCCCCTATAAATCCACACCAAAAATCACTTTAAAACACGCGCACACACACGCTAGTTAGTTAGTCAATAGGCTTGATTGTACACTAAACTTCACATGAACCCAGGCTGTGGCCAACTCAATGCAGGTTTTCTTTATATTACACAACAGAAATCATCAGAGGATGCCACAGAGGCTGGCACTGACATCATGTGACCTGTCCTCTCCAGGTTATGGGCTGTACTGTTAAAGTCCATTGTAATGGGGACCCCAGCGCTTGTTGATGTGGTCGAAGGTGTGCGAGACCCACTGCTGCTCCAGAACGCGGTATCTCTCCTCACATAAATACAGAGGCTTTCCTCGACTACGAAACAGGAAAAAAACAAGAGGTCACAGCAGGAAATGGAAACCATTTTCTTTATAAAAGAAATGAACAGGGAAATGAACTCGGTTTCACAAATAAATGACTACTGGGCAAGAATGGCAAGAATGCCACAAAAATGAACAAAATGCAAGATTAAAAGTGAACATGAATTACATTTTGATCTGAAAAATGCCAATTTTGCAGCAATTACATTTAGATCGGCTCACATTGCATTCGATGTCTTTTTTGCAGCACTGCGAATTGAAATCAATCGCATGTTTCTATTGAGCTTATCAATGTGATGGCCAATCAAGCGTTTAGAATAGCCCCCCGTGAAAACGCCAGCGTTGTTCAGTGTGTGTGTTCGTTCACTGACTGAATTCTGCACTCTTGTGAATTCTCTCATCATTAAAGTTCAGATACAAATGTAAGATGATTTATTTTGCAGCGTAAACAGCTTCTGTTATTATAATGGGAGTTTTTGTGAGAGTGCAGAACTAAAGTCACTATCCACTTCATTGAGAGCTAACTTTCTATGCACGCTTTCTGTATATAATTTGTTTTTCTTGCTACTAAGATAACCAATGTGAAGTCTTCATTTTCAAATCTGTAAAAAGCAATAAATTAATTCATAAATGGTTCTCAGCTTATTTTGTCTGTCTAGATAAAATATGACATGCTGTTTCCCCAAACACATTTTTTGAAGTATTTACGTATTCTACATATCAGATACTTTTGCTTTATATTGATACAATTTGATTGGTAACAGTCTATAGTACTCTGATCGATTGAAAAAAAAGAAAAGAAAAATCCCCTCAGTCAATCCCAGGGCGCAAATATAGCTCTTTAATGGAAAAGTACATTTCTGACCCAGCTACTGGGACCTGAGAATTAAATCTAGATGCAATATCTGGCCATCAGAGCAGTGAGAAGATTACCGTAGGTCTCTGTCCTCCTCTCCATGAGCGTCCAGATACACAGACCCCCACAGACAGAAGCGATGGCCTCGGATGATAATGATGACCGAGGCGTTTATCAGGAGGAAGATACCAGTCGCTGCTCCGCAGTGCTGAGAGTGCTTTGGATTAAAAAAAAAAACATATATAATTATAAACATCATCATCAGTGTAAGGATCTTTCAAACTGAAGCGTGCAGATTTTGCCACACACTCACCAGCACACACTCACAGACGCCCTGCTGTTTACAGCAGTGACCCTTCAGACAGACGAACGCGCCACACACCAGGCACAGCGCAGGGTCTTTGGGGGTCTTGCCGCAGCTGGTGCAGGATTTCCTGTGGTAGTACTGGAAGATGGTGTTGTAATTGTCTGGGAGGTGCAGGAGGCGAGGGCCGGCCCACTGCGGATCCTGAACTAATAGAGACTGAAGAGAGGCAAGAAAATCATGACATGACCTTTCACTGACTGTCAAAATAATCTTTTTAGTAACATTTAATAAAAATTTTTTTTTAAGGTGAAATCTCTCATTTCTGCCCATCCTACCACTGGTCGGATGAACAGACCCACAACAGGTTGAGCAAATGCTGCTGTGGGCCTGGTCAAAATGCTCAAACGTGACTCTTTCAGTTTTCAACGTATGCTTTTTCTATGGAAACCTCTTCATATTAAAGTTACCAGGAAATAAAAATTAACCACTTTTAAATGGAATGTTGCTGTGTTTGTGTCCTCTGATATTCTTTAATAAAAAAAATAAAATAAAGTTAAAAAATTTAAATTGATTTAAGATAAAATAAAAAAAACATTAAATATATATATAAAAAAAAAAAACTTAAAAAAAATTAAATTCACTCAAATTGAATCTAATCTTTTTAACATTTCGCCGCCTTGGAAGGTTCTATCTGCATTCCATATATACCACATCACATAATGTACATAAGCTGTCACAGAATAAGAATATGTGAACAACTCCTTTTTGACAAAAATGTCAGATAGAACCTTATAATTCCAAGGCGACGATTTGTCAAAGTTTTGTCCTAATCAGCCATGACTGTGAGAACTGACGCAATTCAAGATATTTTACTGCTTAGTGTCATAAAATCTGCTGTTCTGCAGCATGAATTCTTATTTGGTTCAAACCCTGCTCGACAAGTTCTAGTTGTATACTAAATATTGTCTGTTGCTCGGCAACCACTTTGTTGGAACCACAACTGTTTCTGAGGAACTACATTGTTTGGTGGAAGAATACTGTTTTTATTAATATCATTACACTTTATTTGCTCTGTTTTATTTTGTGAAACCTTACTACGTATATGGAATAACCGTTTTATAAAAGCAATACGCCCCGTGAAGCCGTGGTTTACAGTGAATTTAGAACAGCTAAGGGG